GGAGGAAGAGGTGGAGCTGGTGAGCACCTCTGCAGGGGCAATGATGAAGGGAGCACAGAGGAAGAGGTGGAGCTGCAGATTTTTAGCCAGCCAAAGCATGGGTACAGAAGTGACCACAGGCAGACATGAGGAAGACGGATAAGTCATGAACACCTCCAAGAAGTTTGATTTCAAGTCCTCAGTTACAAAACAAACTCGTAAACCTAATATTTAATTGTCAAATCACCATTTGGAAAACACATAAAGAAAAATTCTGGGGCCTCCGTGACTCACATCACAGTGTTACTAAGATGGTGTTACATACAGGGATTGGGGGAAGAAGATAAAAGTGCCACCCTGATTCAATTTCACTGAATCAGAATCTAAGCTAACAGGTCAACTTGCAGGGGAAAAAATATCGCCACCAGCCCCCCAAAAAACAAAGAAAAATAACTTTCAAAATAATTCAGAAGTTTGAGATTGCTTTCTGCTTTCTTTTCTTCTCTACTCCTGTCCCTCCTGACAGCCAGCACTGAGCCACAACGTAGAAGTCATGTTTCGAGAAGCACTGAGGCACACACAGGCGGCAGGTGAAACTAAGGCACCTCCTAAGCAAAGGATTCCTTGACTTTTATATACTGTTCTGGCCAGGTGTGGTGGCTAGCACTTGGGAGGCAGGGGCAGGTGAACCTCCATGAGTTCAGGACAGCCCGGTCTTACAGAGGGTTCCAGGCCAGCGACAGCTACACAGTGAAACCCTGTCTTGACAAAAGCGAGAAAGGGGAATGAGGATAGAAAGGACAGAGTGGGCAAAAATCTGAAGGGTCCACGGAACGGTGGTTACCGAGGCAGTGTAACTGAGCTGTGCAGAAGCGGGTGACACGGGAAGTGATGTGCAGAGGTCCCAGCGCTCAGGAGGCAGAGGCAGGCAGATCTCTGTGAGTTGGAGACCAACGTGGTCTACAGAGCGAGCTCCGGAACAGCCAAGGCTACACAGACAAACCCTGGGGGCGGGAGGGAGTGAAAGGACTCCTCAGACCACACGCGTGCGACCTGGATCTCCCTCTGTTTCCACACTAGGAAGCATCCTAAGTCATCTGAAGCAGTCACTAAGGACATCTGAGGGGGAGTACAGCTCTCTGGAGCCTTTTTTCAGGCAAACTTTATCAGGATAACAAATACCGTCCATTTCCACTCTAAGTCTCAGTGCTAACGCGCGATGAGCAACATCTATCTTTTTCTGTACAATGTTGGCGGGCTTCCCACCCAACACTAATATTCAGCCAGATGTTTATTACCTGCACAAACGTGAGTGCGGCTTTCTGTAGGAGACACTCGGCGTAACAGATTTCGGCATGCATTTCCTCTGTTAAAAACAAGCACAATTATATGAAGACACAGTACTGCTCTAGACGTTCTGAAAAGGCTGGGAGGCAAGGAGCCAATGAGAGATACAGGGGCCTAGACAACTTCCGTGCATCCAGAGAAACAGGATGACTTGTTCTTAGTCCTGGCACAAGATTTTCCTGGAATGTGTGAACTTCAGGGAAGTCGTCTTCGGCCCCATTCAACAGTAACAGCAGAGTGAGGCTTGGACAGCAGAGGAAAGCAACTGTTGGCGACAGAGCCTCACATCGGAGCCCAAGCAGGCTGGGATTCACTAGGTAGCTCAGGCTCTCCTTGAATTCATAGCACCCTTCCTGCCTCAACAACCTGGTTGGTGATGTGATTAAAAGCAAGAATCACCATGCCTGGCTGAGGCAAACAAAATTCAAAAGCCCTTTAGAAAGAAGAAAACTACCTAAAAATAACAGTAGCATAAACATTTAGCAGTTGTAGAGATTGAAAAGGCTCCTTAAACTTACAAATTCTAGCTTCTAAACTATGATGGCATGGTCATCAGGATGATGGTCAGACACACTGCCACCACTTCCGGGAGTTGTAGGAGAACCTACTGTCCTGTGTGCCCAAGTCAGGACTCCTTAGAGGCAGCAGCAAAGAAGCTGTCCTTTCCGATTTACAGTGTTTCCAACCTGAGCACAAACATGCAGCGCACACCAAAAGGAGCCAAAGCTGAGCCCAGGGGCGTGCACACCACCCCAAACGTGACCGGACTTCCTATACAATCCGTGATATTTGCAGAGATCAGGGAAAGAAATCATTATGTTTCTACATAAACAAAATCATCAGACTCCTTTCTCCGTGGGAGGCAAACTGGTATGTGGTTTAAGTAAATGCGCTTCAAGGAAGCCCCCATCACGTGGTAGTGTGGAGCTCTGCACAGGCCACCTCCCTCTCGGCTGGACCCTCATTCACACAGTTTGCCCACAGTGCTTACCAGACACAGAAAACCCTGATGTGAACGCTGGCAGCTTTCACCATTATTGATCCTGGCCCGTGTCTGTGGGTCTTTGCAATTCAACTGCTGGGACAACTCGGGGCACTCTGTGTCACTAGAAACAGTGTTGACCCAACAGCTAAGAGTGTAAGTTTTCCTTCCTTTACACACACATAACCCACGGGCTCTCTCATACAGACTCAAATGTTCAACTTATGAGGAATACGCAGCCGAGCTCCCCAGCAGCAGCCAGGGTGGCAGCCACGGAAGACAGCACCAACATGCAGTGCTGTCTGTGCTCATTGGGCATCGCCACCAGTCAAGATGGCGGTCTCCAGGACACCTTCCCTCCAGGTGAGCCTCCTCCGTATCTTCAGGGGAATTCAAAATGGCAGTTTATTTTCAGTCACCCAACTATCCTCCTCCTAGGGAACTGTAAAAGTGACAACCACCTGGGGTTATTAATGTCAAAGGCCGTCTTGGGAAGAGACTACCTGCCTGGAGCAGGTGAAGAGGGGAGAAGTAAGCACTGTTAGAAGAACAGATAAAAGCAAGGCGCGAAAGCACAGGACCCCTCCTGAAAGGGCATCGGGGCTTCTTGGCCGCAGTCTGAAATGTATGAGAGGAGGAGAGGGCAGCAGAGTGGAAAGGCCAGTCAGGGTGACACGGTAGAGTACCGAATGTTACCGCTGGCCTGATTCGCCAGAGCAACAGGATAGGATGGGAAGACCAGTCAGGGTGACACGGTACAGTACCGAATGTTACCGCCGGCCTGATTCGCCAGGCTAAACAGCAGGTCCTTACCAAGACCTAAGCAGAAGGGTGATTAGACCAAAGACAGACAGCAAAGAGTACTACACAGGACACATCACAAAGCAGGTAGAGCACAAACTCTTTCCACATCCTAAGCATGACACCTCACACTAACTCTCTGAAGTCAGCCTGAAGCTACTCAGCACCAGTCAGCAGACACGGTGGAGAGGAGCAAGTGTGTCCCACGGTTAGCCCATGGAAAGAAATTTCATGTAGTATACTCAACCCTTAACACAGCTAGAAACTTGAGAACGTAAACAAAATTACCAACAGGAAGACAAATCCTATACTAAAGCTACAGTGTTCTGCCATGCCCACTGTTCTGGCTGGCTGTCAACCTGACAAAAGCCTAGACTTATCCAGGAAGAGGACCCTCAGCTCAGATTGGCCTGAGGGCAAGTCTGTAGAGCATTTTCTTGATTGATGATTGGCGTTGGAAGGCCCAGAAGGTGGTGCTGGGTAGTATAAGAAAGCAGGCTGAGAAAGCCATGGGGAACAAGCCAGCACCCATCTTCCCTCCATGGTCTTTGCCTCCACGTTCCTGCCTTGGCGTCCCCTAAAAATGAACTGTGACCTATAAGTCAAATAAGTCCTGTCCTCCCTAAGTTGCCTTAGGTCGTGGTGTTTTATCACAGCAACAGAAAGCAAGCGAAAGCAGCCCTCAAACATAAAGTCTGCTTGGATTTCGGTAGCAGCCAAAGGCCCTGGGAATAGCATGCAACTTAATTTCCAGAGCTTTATCCCTTCATCACAGTTGAGTCACACTGTATAGTTTCTTCATCAAAATGCCTCTTAATGTAAATTCCTTAGTTCATGAAAGAAATTCACAGTGTACTCAAAAGCTAGCTAAGCACAGTCTTTCTGTAATAATCTAAAGATACTAATAGTTCAGAATAAGCTACAGACATGGGCTAGTTAGTTTTTCAATAATTAGTACAACGTCCAGATGTCTTTAAATGCTCTGTTTAGAGGCAAGAAGGAAAAATCAGAACACAGTTGTTGATTTTCCAGATGTGATAATTCAGTATTTTTCCATCAACCATGAAGGATGTTTTCTACCCCCCCCCTCCAGGAGAGCATGGGACCAGTGGAAAGAGTTGAGGTTTAGGGAAAGCAGACCAGTTTCGATGCTGCTTCGATGCTGGCCACCTTGGCCACTTACTCTCCGTGACCATCGGTCAATGTTAAGGAAAGCACCAAGGGTGAGTCCGGCACACAGAGAACACTTTCAGAAAACAGAGCACTGTGGTATTTTAAAATTATTTATACTCACACCAAAAATGCTATGTCATTCCTCCCAAAACTAAGATTTAAAACTCTCCAATATCAATCTCAGACCACAAAAAGGGAAGCAGGAGCCAGTGCCACTTGGAGGGTGCCAGGAGGGAGAACACAGATACCGGAGTCATACCAGGGCCAATTTCATCTCCTATGGGTCATCTCTGGAAACCTTAGGCCTCCAGCTATCAGTTTGTACTCTTATAGATGCTTGGGGGTCAGTTTCTGGTGAAAAAGAGGATGGGTTTCAACCGCCCGTGGTAACCAACAAAATGCCCTCTGCATCTGCCATGGCTGAGTCAACACTATCCTCGTTTTCAGCAAGTCCTAAAGACGTGATGTGTCACAATCCTCAGCTGTAATCAACACTCATAACTCATGTCACCCAATGTCCCAAACAAGCTGATGACACACCTACGGAGCAAAGAAAGCCCCATGATAAATCTCACGCTGACTGCCTTTGACAGCCAAGCGCGGAGCTGCACCAGCTCTATCCAGTGTTTGGTACTAACTACCTCCTCCACAGGACAAGTTTGAAACGACAATATGGACATGAATTCCCTGAGACAGCATTGCCTCTACAGAATTGCCCGGATGCTTCTTGACGGTGGGACACCGTCTCTACAGGGCCGCGTAGAGCACTTCGGCCCTCGTCTTACCGAGAATGCAAAACAGCTGACAACGATGTTTTCTCCATCTATCTATCGAGTGCTGCTACCGATATTCCTAGATTCTAGACTTAAAGCCCACAAACCAAACATCTTCATCATCTATGTAGACAGCATTATCATTTTTAAAGGTATAAAAACTACCCAGATACAGTGAGTGGTGCATGTCTTTAATCTCAGCACTTGGGAAGCAGTAGTAGACGGATCTCTATGAGTTCAAGGCCAGTCTGATCTATGGAGTAAGTTCAGGCCAGTGAGGAATACACAGGAAGATCCTATCTCAAAAACAAAAAAGAACTTTTTCACATTGGAAAAAATGTTAAAAGTCTGTATAAAATAAAACTCTCCAAGGTGGTTGAATATAAAGTTTTTGGGAGGAAAAAAATATCAATCCCTATAAATATTGTAAAATTTCAGGCCCTTAGTTGCAGCGATTCTACTTTTAGAAAACTGACTCATGAAATACTTGAAAGAATATATGAAGACATGTACAAATGTTTTTAGCACAGCAGTATTTGCCAACAATGAGAAAACTAAAGCCATCTAGCTGTCCTTTAGTGTGAAAAAACCCACACACTGTGGCACCATCCTGCTCATGACTGCACAGCCCTGAACAGATAAAATGCATTAGCACACACTGATGCGGGTCCAGATGACACTGGAGCATGTGTGTGGCTCAACGCTTAAAAAAGAAAAAAAAAAGGTAAATGAAAAACAAAACTCCATGTGTCCCTTATACACATCTGTGCTCGTGCCAAACGTGTCCAGGGCTGAGGTGAGTCAGGGGATGAGCGGCATGGGGAAGAGAAAAGGATTCGCCCCTCATTTTCCACGCTGCAGTGTTGGGCTGTAGGACAGGGTGCATCCCTCCCTCTAAAGGAAGGGGGGGCAACATCCCACCTCTCTCACCTTCACTCAGCTGCTCCAGCGACCCACGAGAAAGCAGACTTGAGAAAGACTCCACAACTGTGCATTTCTTCCTGTATCTGCGTTGAAAACAGACATGGGAGGAGAACAGAGAGGAAGACGGGCATCAGACCGAGTTCACCGTCACCGACAACCGCCTGAATCACGCTGCAACTCTCAGCCCTCCTCTCCCCGTGCTGCATGCACAGTGCCTAGGCCTGCACTGCCAACCACAATGGGCATTCAACCCACCACGCATAGTGCAGAGGAACCCACACACCACCCTGAGCACAAATCGTGCATAAACCTACGCTCATCTTCCTGGATAAAAGCATCATTTCTGTGGCGAGCATCTCCACGGGAGAAAAATGGACGTAAAGTGTACTGCTGGGAAAATGCTCTTCATTTGAGGATTTCCAGCATAATTACATGAAGATTCATCTTGACCACATTAAAATTCACCAGTACAAATAATGGCTTTCACCAAGGCCTGCTACATGCAGAGCGGAGCTTAACACTGCCGCTCTGCCTCACTTGATCCACCAAGAGTGTCTAAGCACATCCTTAGGCAAATAAAAATTCCCTTCTGGTTGTGCAGTCTCTCCCACAGAGAGGAAGCACACTCCCTGCTTGACCTGACAAGATCCTCGGTTCTTAACTCATCTACCTCAAGAGACCGTGAAAGACGCTCTCCACTAACCCTCTGAAGCCTCCCTCAGACTCTTTCCAGGAGTGGGCACAGGTGCTAAAATGGGAGCCATATTATGCAGCCTCAGAGTTTCTCAGCCAATTCAGTCCTATGCAATGGAATCGAGGCTGAAGCCCTGTGGCATAGTTCTGGCCAGTCCCAAACCCAGAGACCTTGGTTCAGCAAACGGCATCCCCTTGGCACTAAGGTAAGAAGGATTGGGGTCTTAACTCAGATATTAACTACTCAGTCATACTTTTGGCAGGTTTGCAATGCGTCCTTCATGGCGGAAATGCCATTCTGGATGTCCTGTTGCTCAAAGGTCATGATGGCCTGCAAGACCACAATGGTGCTGTATCCCAAGGCATGGTACATGCTCTCCTTGGCCCTGGAGAGAACACAGACAGTTAGTACATTTCGAAACAATGAAAGAAAAGGAAACAGAAATCCCAGTGTTCTGACACCAACAACACCATGCGTGTTGACGTCTGCTCCACGGCTCCTGAAATGATACAAGCTCTGAAAGGCCAGCTTTAAAAACTCAAGCCCTGATTGAAGCCAACTCAACAGAATAAGGAGCTGCCACCAACATGCCTTTCCCTGATTCAGCACAAGGGGGCAGCCTGTAGATTCATTTCCGAGAAAAAGTTTAAAAGCAAACCTATTTGTTTTTTCTAATTGAATAGCGGGAAGTGTACCATCTTAATTTCTGAAATGAGTGAGGCTTGGTGGCACACAACTTCAATTCTAGCGTCTGAAAAATAGAGACAGGAGTTCAGGAATCCAAGGTCATCTTCGCTGAGTTTGAGGCTAGCCTGATTCTTTGTGATGAACAACTACATATAAAAGTATATGGGTAAAGGGGTTCACTGTGTGATGCACTATGCCACGCTGAAGCTTCCATGATGAGATTTTTCCCTTCCTTTTTTTTTTCTTTTTTATCTTAAATTTTATTTTGCTTTATTTTGTGGGGGAGGTTGCAAGAGCACAGGGCAGAGGCAAGGGGGTGGGACATGGGTGGGCTCGGGATGCATGACAGGAAAGACAAAGAATAAAGAAAGTTTAAAAAAAAAAAACAACCCTGCTATCTCCTCTCTAGTCAAAGCCAAGAGGAAACAGACTTTTGCAATCAATTAGGTCACAACCAAAGTAAACCTCAGGTCTACTACCTGGGTCTCCCGATTAAAGTCTGGGAGCCGAGGTTATCAAGTTCGCGATGACGGCCTAAGGCTGCTTGCTCTTTGCAAAGCCTCTTATGCTGATTATTTATGTCTGAAACATCAAGGTGGGATTTTGTTTTTAATTTAAATACTATGGCTCAACACCCCTAGGCTACATAAAGCTAATGCAACATTAGCCTCTCTCCTGGGAGAGGGTCTTCAGAGCCTTCATCCTGCATGAGGGCACTGCCTGCTCACCCTGAGTTATCAGTGACATTCAAATCTCACTCAAGTAGGGTGAAAAGGGAATTTTAACAGTGAATTACGCATAAAGATCAGAGACTATGAAACTAGTAATTTATTTTTATCCCTATTTTACAAGCAGATGGTAGAGATGAAAAAGAAACCTGTTTCAAAAATAAATGAATAAAGGGGACAGGTAAAGACACGCAGAGTCAGAAGGCAAGCGGGCTAAAGAGGAAAGGCAAGCAGACAGAAGGGAAGGGAGGCAGTTGTGAGGGCCCACGGACGGACGAGAGCCAGTTCCACCTTGACTGGAGGCCAGAGAGTTTGAGCTGATTTTTGCTTTTTCAAAGTTGTTGACAACAGGTGTGGCTACAACTAGACAGCCTGACCTAGGGTGTGGTTTAGTTTTTTGGGTAAAAAGGTGGGTCCACTCCACCCGAACCAAAGGTCGGAGAATTCAAGTCTATTCCTTATATCATGTTAATGAAGTCTGTTTGCCTCCCTCTTCCCTTTTGGAGTGAAGTATATAAGTGTGTGGAAAATAAAGGATTCAGGATTCAGTATCCACTGAATAGCCCTCCTGGTGCTGTTTTGTGTTTCTGTCTCTTATTTCTCTCAGATCTCTGTTCCTTTTGCTTAATAATTCTAATCCCCATGCTCCGACCCTGGACCATACGAATTTCACCGAGGCTTTGACAAGCATCCCACCCCACACCCTTTGAACTGAGGTTTCCTCCCAGATAGACAAAGTTGACTGTTTGCTTGGGGTTCTGACTGCTCTGATTCTTTATTACAATATTAAAATCCTTGTGTACTCTTCCCATCTCAGTCTTCTCAATGTTTACTTCCACGCCAAGGTTTTCGCTGACTTCCACCACTCTATTTACCACGGTCTGCATCTCGTTTGGATTTTCAGCAAATAGTGCTGTATCGTTGGCAAAATGTAAGTTGTTAATTTGCACACCACCTATCTGCACACCTATCTCCCCATCCTCCAGGGCTGTTGCTATTAAAGAGTACTGGTGAGAGGGCGCATCCCTGTCACACTCCTACGACTGTCTTAAACTTTAAACTGATGACTTAATTCTCCACCTCAAGCAAACTGTCAACTTTGTCTATCCGGGATGAAACTTCAGTTCAAAGGTGGGAACTATTTCAGATGTCAAGAGGCAAATAGGGAGAGCGAGGGCTGCATTCCAGGCAAGAGGAAAGGTTTGGTCAGCAAGAGACACAACGCCAACAAAACTACAGGTATATGAGATGCTTCTCTCAAGCTGCCTTCTTTACAACTCTGAAACCTGGACAATGAGACGCTCCTCAGAACAGCAGCTGAGTGTGTTTGACATGGCATGTCTCGGGAGGATTCGAGGCATCACACCAAGAAATAGGCTGCTTGAGACACTTTGGTCATGTTATGAGAATGAAAGACAGCAGAGAGCCAAAGACAGCACTGCTTGGAGGAGTGCACAGGATAAGGCGAAGAGGAAGGCACAAAAAACACTGGGCAAACAGCATAAAGGAAGACTATGGAGCCTTGGGCATGACAATAACACAAGCAGCTACGGACTGGCCAGGGGAGGGCCTGGAGGACCACCATAGACGGGATGCCCATGCATGCTGAAGCATTGCTAGGGCACAAATGATGATGACAAATAATGATCTTTGACAAGCAGTGGTCCAAACGATGACAGACGAAGTCTGAGGGATACCACTGGCTGCTTGACATGAGGGATCAGACTCCCCAGCTTCAGCATCAAGTCTTCCTCTAGCTAGTTACCAAAGAACTCATCTTCACCAGAACTGAGTCTGGAGACAAGATGAGTTGTACAAAGTCCGTCACATGCAGAGCGGAGGCCACTAAGCGGGCAGGGCTGGGGCACTGACAAGTCTGCAAAACTCAGCGACAGAAGCAGGGAGCCCCTATCGGATTCCTAACATCTTAACTTGGATTTCAGCACTGAGATCAGGCTTCTCTGGTCCCCTGCTTGCTTCAGAGGAAACGCTGTTCGATGACTGATAATGGGAGTGCTCATGTGAAGACTTCACTCCAGAGAACAAACGTGGGCCTCGAACACCAGAGACGGCATCTGAGCAAGCATGGGAAGAAGCATCCAAAGTTCCTATTGACTAAATTTGAAACGGCATCTCTTTAAAGCTGGTTGATGGGAAGGAGTCTCAATCCAATTAGCTTACAAACACTGAGGCAGATACAGACATTAACACAGAAACATGACATCAGAGAAACATTTAAAATACCTAATGAGAAACAGAGCTAATTACCATGGACGAAGCAGCTCCAAGGCATCTTTAAACTTGTTACTTAGAAATAAGTTCAATGCCTCTGCACACTCTTCTAGCCCGCTCTTGAGATCCACCTTGGTTGATGAACTGAAGGAAAAAACAAAAAGACATAGGATTTGTGTAGTATTTACTGTCAGCACCTTGTCCCAAGGAGTAGGGAGGAGATCTTGGTGACCAGCCGAAATTCCCCCTTTGCCACTTTCCAATGCTGGGCAGAGGAGCTTCCCCTGCCCTCTGTAAGGCCAATGCTCTGCATCTATCTATAAGAAGCAGGTAGGCATGAGCACAGGCACACACACATACACACACACACACACACACACACACACACACACACACACTGCACACAGGGGCACAGCAAGGACAAACAGTGAGTATCCAATTACCCACATTAATATTTAAAAGCACATAAACCTCTGCAGAGGAGGGGGAGTGGAGACAGAGAGACAACAAATGATCGTATGTGTTTGGGGTTTGTTCTTTCAAAAAGTCTGACAGTAGAGCCCATGCTGGCCTGGAACTCACAGCAATTCCCTGCCCTCTCCTCCCAAGCGCTACAATCAAAGGCAGGAAACTCTGAACCCCATTTCCAGACAGAGTCTTCCGACTGTGCAGCCTGTCCACGCTGGCGTTCTTTGCTCTGGCTCATCTTCCTAAGCGGCCAGGATAGAAGGAGGAGGTGCACAGCACTGCCTTCTCCCCAGAACAACTTCCCTTATCAAAGAAGAGTAGAGTCCTCCCTGCTCTTCCAAAGGGAAACAGAAAAAGAGAAAATGGCACCCCCAAAATCCAGTGCTTCGACAAGCTGGCTATCAAAGCAGGAGTGTCAAAACCCATGTCTCTCTGACCTCCCAACTCCTTCTATCTTTCTTTCTTTCATTCTTTTTTTCAACTGTAGCCGTGACCCAAAGCTCAGCCTAGACCTGATAGTAACCCATCTGCCTTGGCTTCCTAAGCACTAGGATGGGCATGCGCTAAGAGGCATCATTTTCTAAGTCCCAGTGCCAACTCTGTCTATAACATACCTGGGCCTCAACTTTCTTATCTGTAAAATGGGAGCATGGCAACTTATTTCCAGGGCTGTTGTGAAGAAGAGATCGGTCAACAAACACTGCCCATAGTAGGTATTAATTAGATGAGGGTTTGGAGGGAAGGGGTCACACACATGGAGTCCTGATTCTGATAAGCATTGTGACAGAAAGATGCTCCCTAACAGTGGAGTTACTCGTGGGAATATCTGGGTTCAGGGGAAAGAAATTCTATGCTGCACATGCAGCAGGCAAGACAGAAAATGAGAGAAACAGCAGAAACTAGGCCAAAGTCAGGAACGACAGTGTCGAGGAGGTGGGTTCTATTCTAAGAACAAAGGGAGGAGCATTGTCTCAAAAATCCTGTCCCCTAGTGTGGCAGAGTGTGGCTTTAGCCTCAGCACTCAGAAGGCAGGGACAGGCAGACCTCTGGAAGTCCACAGCCAACCTGATCTACATGTCCAGGTCCTGACCATCCAGGGCAGTGTTCCTTTCCCAGCCGCTGTGTTCCAGGTTTCTCTCTCACCTGCTCCACATCCCACCCACCCGGTAAGGTGGCAGCTCATCCTCCACTGCCAGGAAGTGAGCTGTGACCAGAATGCTCTCCTGTCAACAAACAGCTACCTCCGCACCTCAGCTGCCGTCTGGAGGATGCACTGCACCTGTTCCAGCCCGGAGTAAACAAAGAAGCCACAGCCCTTCAAAGGTGTCGTGTATGAGGTCTGCCTGGAACTGAACCCACTTCTCCCAGCAGACTGCCAGCACTGCCTGCCAAGGGCTCTGGCTTCCATCTTGGCCGGGGTTCCTCCTGAAGACATACCTCCCTCTCGGCTCCCAAGGCCATCTCATGAATGCAGAAGGTTATCCCTTCAAACCTAAGTTCTAAAGCTGTCCCCAAGAATGTCTTCCTGACGACAGAGGCTTTGACTTCATGACTTCAATCATAAGCAGGCATTAGAGACACCTTTGTGAGGTTGTTAATGCTGAATGCTGGACCCCACACTCAAAGACTTCTGACTCAGGGGGCCCGGCATGGGCCCAAGTGAAAGCCCAGTTTCCTCTATACCACTGTCAGATTTCTCTTCCTAAAACAGATATTCATAGCGCTGCCTTCTCAGATTAAAAACCAAAAACGGGCTGCCACTTAAAGTTCAACAGGCCCTGGAAACATACGCCCACCTAAAGATTTTTAAGAACCACCAGGCATCTCAAAAGGTTCATCAACACAGGATGCCCCTCAAGCCTGGCACGTCAGAATGAAAAAAATCCGGAACCAGAAGTAAAAATCAGTGTTTCCATCTCCGGAGAGTCCCCTGGGTCCTGGCCCACCTCTGAAACACCACGGTGCTTTCACAATCCACAACCTGTTTGAAAGACACAGAGGCAATGGTTGCTATGGGCATGCTTTGTGAGTTTCCCTGCTCCGTGTGAGTCAGCAGCTGTGTATAATCTTGCAAACATGGATGCTCAGCCCACACACACACATTCTGCGGGTATCCTGCGTGTATCCGGCTTCCTGCCACGCATTCTCTGTGAAGTACAGACTGCTTCCTAGTTCTAATTTATAAGGCACGCTAATACAAGGCAGAATTATTATTTCAGTCTTATAGTTTTAAAAACCACACAAAATAATTTATAACAATATAAATATATATTTATAAATATATATTGTTATAAAAATATAACAATATAACAAAATAATTTATTAACATCTGGAATGATGTTAATAGATGTCTTATATCCCAACTCCATTTCTCCCTTTAACAACATACTTGACTGCAAATGCTGTGTGCTTGCAGTGAATGAGGATCTGGGCTTTGGCTCCTTTCCCGACCTCAACCCAATCCTAACATATGACCATTACAAGTCATTGTTCTTCCCTAATACTTAGTTTTCTAATTCATAAGATATGTCTAACAAAAGTGCCTACATTATAAGGTGCACTATTATTACATGTGCTGTGCTTAGATCAGTGTCTGTGCAGAAGTCCTTGGATAATGCCAGCTATTAGTACCATGATTTTGTTAATAACTTAGCCACTTTCAGTAAATTCTGAGTCATTTGTTCACGTATCCACGCAACTGTATAAGACAGCGTAGCAATGACTAGAGCGGGGACAAGCGTGAAGATGGAACAGGAGATGACAGGCAGTTCAGAAAATCGGAGGGGTTCACCCATGAAAACCTTCTGCAGACACACGTGACTAGAAGGAGAAACTCGTACTGGGAACTTATGGACGATGGTGCCTAGGGCAGAGCTGGCACATAACTTTGTTCCCATGAAGACGGGCGAGTGTGCGTGCGTGGGAGGGAAGGAGCATGTGTGGGGTAACAGAGAGGATGTGGGACCGCTGTCGTCCTCACCGGGTGGAGCCAGAGAGAGTGTCTGCGTTCCCCAGTTTCCTCCAGGTCTCCTTGGCATCGAGAACTATAATCAAAGATTTCCCACACCGCACCAACTCTATTCAAACTGGGGTCCTAAACAACAGGATCCCAAACACCCAGCACAACCCCATGTTCTCTGGATCTGGCTCTACTTTCTGATGTGTCATTTAGACTGACTTATTTGGGGCAAGAAGACAATTGAAGTCTGGGCAGTCATGGTGAGGCCTGCTAGCAAATGGGGGGTTTGCTCTTCCGTAATAGGTTGAAAAGAATTTAGCTATTTGGGTCATTTCCTTATAAGGGGTTTCATGTCATGTGACACATCATAGGTTTTTCTCTTGTTTATCTGGTTGTTGTTGTTGTTGTTGTTCTAGATTCCCAACCATGAACCAATCATGGATAGCAGGGCACTCTTTCTGCTCCTGTATTAACATCTGGAGATGAGCACCTCCTCCCGCTAGATTCCCTGGGGAGGGACTTCGCTGGTCTCCTTTCTGCCTTATTCCTCTCCTGTGTAGAATAAAGGCCCTGAGGCAGAAGGATCACAAGTTCAAATCCAGCAGGCTAGCTGACTGGTGACTTGAAAGGGTGAAGTAGGTGAGTGGGCGTGAGTAGCCCATCCGCTGCAGCTACCGCCACCACCGCCACCACCATCCTGCCTCCTATTTTGGGCACTAAACATTTTGAAACCCAAGATTGCATAATATTAGCAAATACTCGCCACTGAATTATAGCACCAGCCCTCATCCTGACTTTTCCTAAGAAAGAACGGGGTGGGCTGGAGAGATGGCTCAGCAGTTAAGAGCATTGCCTGCTCTTCCATAGGTCCTGAGTTCAATTCCCGGCAACCACATGGTGGCTCACCACCATCTGTCATGAGGCCTGGTGCCCTCTTCTGGCCTGCAGACATACACACAGACAGAATGTTATGAAAGAAAAAGAAAGGAAGGAAGGAAGGAAGGAAGGAAGGAAGGAAGGAAGGAAGGAAGGAAGGAAGGGGTATGTACAGTCTGTTAGCTCTGGGATGTAATGAGCCAAGTAGAGTAGGCCCTATCACCCCAACTCACAAAGCAAAGCCTACAACTTTGAGCCTAAGATCATGCAGGGACGAGGCAAAAACAAAACAAACAAAATCCCCAAAGCACGTTTCCATATAACCAAGCCTACATCCTCTCATACCGTCTTTGTGACTTAAAAAGCTTAGAGTTCCGTCTTCACGAGTCAGAGCCCTTCACTGATATCCCAAGAGCCTCTAAACCAGCAGCTCTCAACCTGGGGGTCGTCACTCTTTGGAGTCATGTGACCCTCTCTCAGGGGTCACCTAAGACTGACTATCAGAAAACAGATATTTACATTATGATTCATAAAAGTAGCAAAATTATAGTTACGAAATAGCAATGAAAGTAATGTTATGGTTGGGGTTACCACAACATGAGGAACTGTATTTAAGGGTCACAGCATTAGAGAGGCTGAGAACCACTGTCCTCACAAAAATGCTAAGGAAACAGGTCTTCCGCAGGAGGACGTAACACTCCCAATGTCATGCGCGAAAGAGGGTAAAGACAAGACTTCACTCTTCATAGATCTTTGGTAAACAAAGAGTGTGGTAATTTGCAAAATTCTCCAAAACTACGACCCTAACTGTACTCAAAGACTCCAGCGGCCCTCTTGTCTA